GAGAACAGCAGCGGGATCCTGGCTCACTGCAACATCCGCCTCTCTGTTTCAAGCAATTCTTCTACCTCAGCCTCCCAAGTAGCTGGGATTACAGGGAGCCGAGATCACGCCATTGTACTCCAGCCTGGGCAAGAGCGAGACTCAATCTAAAAAAAAAAAAAAAAAAAAAAGGATCCCTTCTCCCTACCTTAGAGAAAAGTCATGACAAGTGACTTAATATTTCTGTGTGAAATTCAAAACTGGATCCTATTTTAAAAGACAATATCAGATATCTTCATGAGTTAGAGCAGGGAATGATTTTTGTCAACAAGGCCCTCACAGTTATAAAACATAAAGTACATGTTGATCAATTTGATTTCATTTAAAATAAAAGCTGTTCAGTGAATGGTTCTTACATAACGAAAGCTACAAACCACAAACTGGGAGGAGATATATGAAAACACATAATTGACCACGCCGCTGTTTCAGAATCTGTCAAGCACTTCTTCACGCACATGAAAACAGAAAACAACCAATAGAAATATAAGGAAAACAACCAATAGAAATATAAGGAAAACAACGAAAAGGTATTTCACCAAAGAGGCAACAAACGGCTCACAAACATGAGAAAAATGCTCATGTGTATTAATAATCACATAAAAGCAAATGAAAACAATAAGATCCTTTTTCCAACCAATATTTGGGGACTACTTTAAAATGTCGACAACGTCGGGAGCAGGCAGTGAGGTGCAGCTGTGGGGATATTCACCTGGGCCTGATGCTAATATAATTGGTGAAACTACGTGTGAAGAGGCAACTGAAGTCACCTGTGCCTCAGGGACCCAGCCATTCCACTCAGGTAGTCCAAGAGGCCTGTGGGCTCACGGATGCGTGCAAGAAGGTTCAAAACAGCTTTGCTCATATTGGCAAAAACTGAGAAACAACCCAACCATCTATCAGTGACAGAATGGGTCATGAAATGGTGACCTATTCATACATTTAAATACTGTGAGGCAAGAGCTAGAAACGAACCGCAGCTAAAACAAATTACCATTGATTACTCTCAAAAACAGTCAAAAGAATCAAGTCACAGAATGATACATTATAATTTGAAAATGAGGAAAACAAAACATATCTCTTAGGGGAAGGTATATCACTGGGAAAAACAAAAAGAAAATCGAAGTGAGTGAAGTTCACTTCACAACTGGAAATTCACTTTGGTGGCAACATCCGAGGGTGGAACGGGTATGCTGTTACGGCTACAGGAGTCTGCAAAGGTCCCCATCATGTCCACTTCTCAATGTAGGTTCTGGACCACGGAGACTTGTGTTATGATTACGGTAATTCCTTAAAGTTTTCATTATGTGTTTCTACACTCCTTGATGTGTATATTTCAAAACCAGGGTCATCACGATCATCATAACACTGAACTCAGGATTCTTATAAGGAGGAAGTAAAATTGTGATTGTAAAAGGATAGCTCCTAGGACACTGAGGTTTGGTACGAACTCAGAAGATGACTGTGATGATTGTAGGGAAGCTGGAATAGAAGGAAAACCATGCCCAAGGATGAAATGTTGACCTCGTTTCTAAAAAACTTAACACCTGTTCTGCCTATGCAGAAAGAGAGTAGCCGATATCCATTAAGTTCTTCTTGCAGGCCAGGCACAGTGGCTCACGCCTGCAATCCCAGCACTCTGGGAGGCCGAGGCGGGCAGATCACTTAAGGTCAAGAGTTCGAGACCAGCCTGGCCAACATGGTGAAACCCTGTCTCTACTAAAAATACAAAAATTAGCAGGGCGTGGTGGTGGGTGCCTGTAATCCCAGCTACTCAGGAGGCTGAGGCAGGAGAATCTCTTGAACCTGGGAGGTGGAGGTTACAGTGAGCCGAGATGATGCCACTGCACTCCAGCCTGGGCCACAGAGTGAGACCGTATCTAATAATAATAATCATAATTAATAATTTCTTCTTGCATGATAGGTTTAGTTACGCAGAAAGATGTTATGCCACATGGACATTCTTCAAGGAGTTTAGGATGTAGGAAGGAAATAAGCATTTAAATTATGAACAGAGTCACCTCAACTCTCCAAATGAACCATTTTGGAGAGACTGGAGGAGCTTATCTGCAGCCGGGAGCCCTGGGAATCCTAAATAGGGACCTCAGCCTGACACATCCCCCGCTCTATAGGACACCAGGAGCAAAGGTCTGGAACAGGCCCTCAAGGGGCGGTGGGAGTTTCGCTTCACATATTTTCTGGATCTGTTCATCAAAAGTCCTCCTGAGCCAATGGGAAGGGAGCAACTCATTGGCCAATCAAATGGCACCAGGGATCTTTTCCTCCCGCTTCCAGCCGCCAATCATTAAGACCAGGAAGGCGTGGAGCGGTGAGTCAGCGCGTCATGCTGGGCTGTGCTTCTCTTCTATCTGCTGATTTCCTTGGTTACTTTGGGTCTTCCTTTTTCTTTCTTCCTTTCCCCCTGTCTCCTTTCTTGATCCTGATCAATCACAGCCAGGCTTCTCCATCCTGTTTTCCCAGCGTTTTCCTTCTCTCCAGTTAGTGGGGTAGATGAACGCCCTGTATTTATAAGGTGCCTCCCAGTTGAGCCTGTAGACCTGGGAGAAGAATGGGGAGTGCAGGTGGGGGACACTCGTCACGAAGGGAGACCTTGGAGCTTCGAGGGTGGGAATGTTCTTATTAGATTCTTCATCTCTGTTGACACAAACATGTAGGAGAAGCTGGAGGACATAGACAGGGATGAGGTAAGGGGGCCCCTGCCGGTGAACGATGGGACCCAAGTCCGCTCTGCTCTTGTGAGCTTGCTCTCTGACCTAGGGCAGCAACATCTTTGATCCTATAATTCCAGCATGTGATTTAAAAAGAGAATCACACTTTTAGTTGACTCATACTAATTGTGTATATGAGATGCAGAGTGATGTGTTGGTACAGGGATACGTATCATTAAATCAGGGTAATTAGCATATCCATCTCCTCATACACGTATCATTTCTTTGTGTTGGAAACATTCGGAATCCTCAGGTGGGAG